TCACACCCATACCCATGAAGTATTCATCAGGAAAAAAACTCTTCAAACAACCCAAAAAAGGTTCAAAATTTGCAAAAAGGAACATACGGTAATCATCAGAAAAAACTCCAAACAAACCAAACAAGGTTCAAAATTTGCAAAAAGGAAACATACCCATTAACCAATCATAAGAAGAAACTCCACAAACAACCCAATAAACTTCAAAAAAGGAAACATACCCATAAGAGCAGCTTCAAGAATTTGATGAGCAAGAAGGATTTGATCAGTAGGATTTACAGAATCAGCAGGACGAGACTGCAATTCCTTAATAGAATAAACAGTATAAATCATGATCACAAGAACAGTAGCTGCTACAGATTTAACAATCAACGGTCCACTGCCTCTTTTAACACGATCAAGAGTCATAATTATCAGTTTCCTCAAAGGGGTTCTAAACAGAAACATCAAAATCAACCCCATTTCCAAGAACACCACCATGAACAAAAGCTGAACTTGAGCTAACATTTTGCATACACCACCAAATTAACTCCTTTTTTTTCTGTGATTCAAAAATTTCACCAAAAGGGGTTTTTCTTTACTGGTTAAGAAAGATTTTTGTACAAGAAAGTTTGATTATTGGTGGAAAAGGGTGTTGATTTTTTCAGAAAAAACGGTGAATAGAGTGTACAGATGGTGTTGATTCTGTATATGCACTTGGTTTTTTGTGTCACGCGGCCTTTACGCCTGCAGAAGACTTGTATGGAAAAAGACTAGCGTCGGCAAGACCTGTCCTTTTTCTTTCTTTTTTTAATCTAAAATTTGTAATTTTAAAACAAAATTTCATATTGGAAAACATATTTCATTTTGTTCAAAGATCTAAATATATATATATAAAATTGGCATGATCAAACATGCTCGAGAGTGTCAAAATATCTTTACACGTTATTTCTATCTCTCATTACATAGCACTCATTTCTGGATCATATTGACAATATTCTTAGCGTTGAGAAAATTTCCACATTCTTTCCATCCATTACTAATAGCATATTCAAGAGTCTTCTTTAGTCAATGATATTTTTGTGATGTGATTTTTCGATATATTTTTTTTCAAAAGCTTTACAACACTCTCCGTAATGACCCAAGGAAACAATACAAATAGTTTCACCATGATACATACTATTTTTTAGCATTTAGGGGCCTTTCAAAAGGAATTAGACGATTTTCTCAATTTGTCGTGTGTATTAGTCAATGAAGTTTTTGGTGATATGATTTTTGAGTACTTTATTTTCAAAACCTTTACATGACCCTCTGTAATGACATAGGGAGACAATACGTATAGTCTCACCGTGATCCACACCATTATTTTAGCATTTAGGGGGACAATCAACAGAATTAGGCAATTTTCGCGATTTTTTCATATGTGTTAGTCAATGATTTTTTTGTTGACATGGTTTCAGACACTTTTTACCAGAATCTTTACAGACCCCTGTAGTGACCTTGGGGGAACAATACATATAGTCTCACTATGATCCACGTCATTTTTTTTAGCATTGAGGGGCCACTTAACAGGAATTAAGTGATTTCTTAATTTTTCGTGTGGTAGTTGATGAATTTTTCGGTAATATGATTTTTCAATACTTTTTTTCCAAAACATTTACAGGATCATCCGTAATGATCGAGGGGACAATAATTATAGTCTCACCATGATTCATGTCATTTTTTAGCATCTAGGGGTCACCCAACATGCATTAAGCGATTTTCTCAATTTTTCGTGTGTGTTAGTAGTCAATGAATTCTTTGGTGATATGATTTCTAGGCATTTGTTTTCCAAATCTTTACAAGACCCTATGTAATTACCTGGGGGAACAATACGTACAGCCTGACCATGATTTACTCTATCATTTTAGCATTTAAGGACCACTCAACAGGAATTAAGCGATTTTCTCAATGTTTTATGTGTGTTGGTCAATAAATTTTTTGGTGATATATATGATTTTTTAGCACCTTTTTTCTAAAATCATTGCATGACCCTCCGTAACTACCTAGGAAACAATATGTATAGCCTCACCATGATTCATATCCCTATTTTTTGTTTTAGGGGTCACTCAATAGGAAGTAAGCGATTTTCTATGTACTTCATGTGTGTTAAAGAAAATCTTTACAAAACCCTACGTCATGATCTGGGGTAAAATACGTGTAGAATCACCTTGATCCACGTCGTTTTTTAACATTTAGGGTCGCTCAACATAAATTAGACGATTTTCTCAGTTCTTTTGTGTGTTAGTCTATGAATTTTTTGATGCTATGGTTTTTGGGCACTTTTGCTCTATACATTTACATGACCCTCCGTAATAATCTAAGGGAATAATACGTATACCCTTACCATGATCAATGTCATTTTTTAGCATTTAGGGGCCACTCAATAGGAATTAGACATTTTTTTTTCAATTCTTTTTGTGTTTTACTCAATGAATTTTTTGGTGATATGATTTTCGATTTTTTTAAAAATCTTTACAGGACCATCTGTAATGACCTGTGAGAGAAATACGATAGTATCACCATGATCCACACAATTTTCTAGCATTTAGGTGTCACTCGACAGGAATAGACAATTTTCTCAATTTTTCATGTGTCAGTCAATGAATTTTTTGGTGATATAATTTTTGGGAACTTTTTTTCCCATAATCTTTACAAGACCCTCCATAATAATCTGGAGAAACAATAAGTATAGCCTCACCACGGTTCACATCATTTATTTTAACATCTAGGGGCCACTCAGCATGAATTAGACAATTTTCTTATTTTATTTCTTATGTGTTGTTAGTAATGGACTTTGATGATATGGTTTATGGAAAAAAAAATTGCAAAATATTTTACAGGACCCTCTGTAATGACCTGAGGAAACAATACGTATAGACTCACCATGATTCACATCACTTTTTTAGCATTTAAGGGAACTCAATAAGAATCAGACAATTTTCTCATTTTTCGTGACGTACATGAAATTTTTGGTGATATAAATTTCGAGAACTTTTTTTGCAAAAAACTTTATAGGATCCTCCGTAATGATCTGGAAGAACAATATCTATAACCTCACCAGGACTCACACTATTTTTTTTAGCATTTAGGGACCACTCTACAAGATTAGGCGATTTTCTCATTTTTGTTTTTTGTGTTAGTTAATCGATCGAAATTCATATCATTCAAATATTTATGGGCTAACACACACGAAAAATTGAAAAATTGACCTAAATTTTTTTTTTTTAACTATGTGTATTAAGACATCGTTATGTGATGGAGTTGGATAACCATACCACTTTAGAAGTCTTTTGGTTTGAATTCAAGTTATGATGGGATTAGTTATGAATGGGATAAGTTATGCTAAGATTATTTTTTATTGAGTGTTTGGTTTGTTGTATTCAAAATAATAAATCTTAAGAACAACATATAAGTTTACAAAAATACCCTTCATGGATGTGAAAAGTAATGTATAAAAAATGTTTAAAGGGACATTTTTGTCATTTTATCCCGGGATAAGTTATCCGGGGATTACTATACCACCCATGGGAAGGGATAACTTATCCCGGTACTAATTATTAATCCCGGAATAAGTTATTCCGGACTTGCCAACCAAACAACAAATTAAGTGGCACTATAATTTAATCCCAGAACTATTTTAAGTTATCCTTCACACCAAACGACCCCTAAAGAGTACATATTATAAGTATAATTATGGTGTATATCTGAAACACTACAACTTCCAACAATAATGTCTCTATCTCTAAAGCTCAAATCAACCATCTTTGAGCCTTAAATCATCCCAACTAGATTTAAAAAAATGAAAGTACACCATCCAATTAATTTTTCACCTCCATTAAAACTTCATGTATACAATTTTAACTATAAATATTTGCTTTAATGACCAATGTGGGATAAAAATGATTGAAAGTAGTCTTACAATTGTTATATGTTCTTTTTGTGAATGTTGTATTGAAAAGCTTATGTCATTATTTTATGAGGACATATTTAGGCCAATATTATAATAACAAATGTATATTTCACTCCTATTGTTGAAGGATAACAAATTTGGACCATTTCACAAGGTTGATTAATATATTTGATCTTTTCCCTAAATATAATATAATATATTTTTGAATGAGTTAATATGTTGAATTTAGCTCCTAGTTCTGGAAGGATGTTTTACAGTTTCTAAAATAAAATTCATATAATAAAAGTTACATAGAAGTATTATTCCAAATTGTTTTTAAAGTTTTAAAAAAATTACAATTATATAAAAAAATATTTTAAAAGTCGAATCCATATATATTGTGTGAAACGTATGGCTCAAAGACATCTCTAACAAAAAAATGAACGTGTTATTCACATAACTTTTTTTAACGTACTAAAATAAAATAGGGAAAATTACGCGGATAAGTAAATATATACTAGTTAATTAGCTAACATAGCCATAGTTTGAATTAATTACAGCTCGAAGCTTAATTTTAGTTGTTATTACGTCATATCTCTCCTCTCTCTTGCATATCTCCTCATTTATACATAAACAAATACAAATTATACATATACATATACAATATATGACAGACATACAAATACAATTAGCCTCTCTCCTCCCTCTCCCAATCTCGCTCACCATATATACAAATACATATGTATACCAGTTACATATACACGATTATATTGCAGATATACATATTTAGTTCATCTCTCTCCACTCTATGCCCTCTCTCGCATGCCTATCTCCTCCCTCTCCCAATCTTGCTCGCATCTCTCCTCCCTTTCCCGGTCTCGCTCGCCATATATATATCATGTATATACAATTATTTGACATATATACATATACAATTTGTCTCTCCGCCCTCACTCACTCGCCTCTCTCCTCCCTCTAACACGTAGCTACGAATCGTAATTAGCAAACTATAGCTATAAAACATAATTAAGTTATTATTGAATGGCTATAAGCGAAAATTTCCCAATAAAATATCACGTAAACAAAAAAAAATATTACACAATGCAATACATAAAATTTAATACTAAATTACATTATGCTTCTCATGAACTTTTGGCTTATAAACACCAATACATGTTTATGTGTAACACACAAGCATAAGAACTCACAAGAACAATAAGGGTGAAGTTTATAAGGGAACTCATTTAATCAAAAGTTTTTTTCCAATGTTACTTGAATTCTTCAAAAGTGTTGTTCGTTGTATGTCAAATTCTCTAAAAATAATAACTTTTTAGATAATTTGGCACGAATGTACAACATTCTTGAAGAGTTTAAGTAATATAATATTTAATTTTATTTGATTGGATGATTTAACTTGCCTAATTTCCATAAAAATGACATAAATAAGGGCATAAACTTTTGAACACTATAATCCATGCTTATTTTCTTTGATCATTCTTGCAGATTGAAAAGAAGAAGAAAAACTTGGGCTTCATGATCTTCTAAAGTAAACACGATTTCCTACAAGGAGAGGAAGATTTCATGTTAGATATTCTACGATCGTTAAGACATATTCAAAATTCAAAATTTAAAATTCAGTCAATATATGTAATGTTATCATTGTAATACCAACTACATTTTGTAAAAAATCAAGAAAATAAACAATATATGTTTGGACAAAAAAAAAAAAGCTTTAGAGATTATTTATTTATAATTTAATTTTTTTTAATGAAAATTTTAACTCCATCACTGAATAATAAGCATAGAATTTCTAGAGAAGAGAAAGAACATAATTGTGAAGATTAATTATTAGAGAAACTAAATCCTAGTGATCAACCAAATATCATGTATATTGATTAGATAAAAACCCAACAATTAGTATTTTTAAATAAATAAAAGAGACTGAGGAAAAATACCTGAAATAGCTCATTGTTGGCAATTGGAGAATTAAACATTTTTGGAATAATCAATATTGACACACACACACTATATAGCTTTATTTATAGCACCTTCAACTTGAAAATGAATTGATTAATATTAGGACAAGTAATACCTTTTTATAGGTTCATTGAACCTGGTCACTCCTCCATTTGCACTTTATGTAAGGTTTTAAGTTATACATTTTTATACTGATAATTTTTTTATTATAATTGGTAAATTGTTTATTTTTTATAATTATAAATTATATATGTGTATTTATAAATATTTTCTGAATAATCTAATAAGATAAAAATATCTTACGATAACGATGTATATAATTTAAATTTATTTTAAATATCAAGCCTACCTAAAATATCATGCATATGTTAATTCCCCTTTTGTTTTTTCCCCTCTCATTTTTAACATGAAAAGTGAGTCATAGAGGGACCTTACAGACTGTATGACCTAACTCTTTTCAAAAAGTTAATTGGAATAATTATTAAGTAATGCTGACTCCAATATTTAATTATTTTTTGTATTTATTTTTATTTGTTCATTATATTTTAAAAAATGTTATTTTTATTATTAAATTTGAGAAATCAAGCGATTTTTATCACTTAATATTTCTAATCATGAATTTTTATATTTAAAAGAGTGATATAATATAATTGTCATTCTATTCATTGCTCTTTAAGGAGTGTGCCAAATCAATCATAGATAAGTAAAAATAGACGGAGGGGCTATATATTTTTTTGTTGTTAATGAAATGACACTTTAAGCATAAAAATAACTTTCGGAGTAAATTTGTTTCAATAAGTGGAGTGAGATATTTTTGAGTCATTTATATTGTACTAAATATATTTTTTATTCAATAGATGAAAGAAAGACAAATTTATTGCAATACGTGAAAATAAAGTATTTTTAATTAAATATGTAATACGTTAAAGCTA